TTTAGTGTACTTATTTATAATTATGGCCAGCAGAGTATTTATCCTCACTTTATTACATTTTTCAATTCATGGCTTCTAAGGTTTCACATTTACATCAGCTAAATATCCTGCCACCAAACGTTTATGTCTATGTAAGTAAATAATTCCTGACTTTTTTTTATAGTTAAATGAAAAAATTAATAGGCTATGAATTCTACTGGTATGTCTGACAAATCCAGTTCGCCTTCTTATATAAGTAACCTGTAAAGAAAATTAGTTGAAGACCCCTAATCATTAAAAACTGGTGTCTGTTATTGTGTGATCCACTTCCTGTGGATTAAGAATTAAACTCCCTGTTGAATGCCTTTATAGGATCTGCATATCTGTAAGTATTTAAAATTTATCACATGGATTATTGAACACCAGAGATTTTCCTTTTAATTTCTATTTTCCTGTGAATTTTTTTCTCAGCAATGATTCATTAATTTGGACTCTGCCCATTTTATCAAAATATTATAGATAATATCCTAAACTATATTAATTAAAACTAAGAGTACAGTTTGGGCTTGGGCCATCGGGTGAAATTGTGCACCTGTCTGTCTCATTAGCATTCCTCAGTGCTTAAGCTTGATTATGCCGATTTTATTTGAAGTCTGTTCTAAACCACTAGTTTTTTCTGTCACCATCTGTGTCCCAAGACTTTTTTAGTGATTGAATTCAATGTTTTACTTCTTTTTACTTATTTTTAATCAACTTTTCCAGTGCAGTAGAGAGTTATAACACTGGTGTGGATTTAAGGGAAGAGAAAGAGGAAAAAGGATAAGATCCTGGACTGTAGAAACAGGACAGTGAAATAGCCACTTTGATTTTTGCTCTAACCCTTTCCAAAACGTCACCCTTCTGCACTTGCCCTTTCTACATACATGTGCTTATAGTTCTGAGATGGCAGAGGAAGGGGCATGATAAGTTGTGGGACAATGAAGGGTACAAGATATTAGTGTACGTTGGGGCTTTTGGGAAGCATTTTATTCACCGGACAGTCTGGATAGGTTCTGGCACTGAAGGTCACAGACAGTATGGTTACTTGGCAAATAGTATTCACCATTCGTTCCTAGGTAATTGAGAGTTGACTGTGCATTTTTAGTTCTAGTGTTTCCAGCTGCCGACTTACAAGTCATTTATTTATTCAATGTTATGGTTTTAATTTTTAAGCTTTTACACTATTTAGATTTGGGTAAGAAATATGCATATATGCATAGGATAGTGGTAGTAGTGTATAAATGGTATCGTTGAATCTTTAGATGTGTTGGGAGAATGCTACTTTTTAAATCTATTTGTGTTACCTGTTTTAGTATGGCCCTTTAGCAGAAGCTCTGAGTAAAGTTATTTGAAATGTTTGTTTCCTTATGCATAGAGTGGATGTTACAGAGTCCCAGATCGTAATTATAATATGCCAGCTTCTCACAGGAACCCTGGGACCTTGGTTCTGGAACTTCACGGTAACTGCTGGAATACACATGCTGTCCAATGAACAATGGCGTGAACTCAATAAAGACAGCACCTTTGTCATGCACAGAGTAATTAAAACACACAAAAAATCGAAAGTTTTTCTGGTAGTATTTCACAGGCAAATAGATTATTAGAAAACAAATTATTTTAATATATAATAGGGCAATAAAAATCCACCCTGTTAAACAAAATTTTTTTAAAATAATGTTTTGTGATCTGATACTAAAATAGTTCTCTCCTTAATATCATTTTTGCTCTATGTGATGTAATATTTTTAAAACAAATACCTTTCCACCATTAAATACAATTTTTTGGGTATGTATATTTTGAAAACAGCAGAGTTTTCTTTTCCTTAGATAGTAAGTTGAGAGAATTTTTTATAGTAGAAAAGATTCTGTTTATTCTCTTAACTTTTTTAGTATATCCTTTAACCAGTATGGTGCTATTTTCTGCTTCTGTTTTCAGTGCTCTCGTTTTGTGTTTTAAGTTAATGCTGGAAGCTGCTCTCACTTCTTTTATGTTCACTGTTTTCCTCTCATTTGTGCTTTTAAACCTTAGCTTTCCTATTAACTATAGTCATTCTTTGACTACTTTCTTTTTCAGGTGTATTTTTTAATATAAAATACATATTTCCATAATTAACACTAAGAGTATGTAATGTATCTTTTTCTTTATATATTAGAAGTGTGATTTTTGACCTTATGACTTAAAAAATTTTAAGATTTATTAGGAAATGGTTTCCCAGTAGAATAGCCCAGAATCCTTCACACATTAGTATGAAAAAGTTTATTTACAAGAAAAATAGAGCTTCATTCTATTTATTTTGTAGTTTCGGGAGTGTTGGGAAACTGTTCATATGGACACCGACAGATCATTCTAGCAATACAAGTCTGCATTCAGTTTTCTACATTGAGTCCTCATTCCCTGACATGCTTCAAAGTAATATGATAGAAATAATAGTGAGTCTCTGGTAGCAGAGTTCTTTCTGGAAGGTGTCTTTTGCAGCGTTGTAAATCCAGTTATTCAATGGCAGTAATGATATGATGGCTTTGGGGACAAATTACTAGGGATGATCTACATCTTTTGTTTTTTTCCCAAATAAATTTGGCATGTGGAGAATACTATGAGTACTATAGGCATGTTTTAGGTACAAGACTAAAGCCATTTTCAGTTGACTTTACAATATATTTGCACAATTATTCGTGGAATTTCCTCCTAGGATAGAATAATGTGCATAGTTCAGGAGATGTCATTCTTTAGCACCCCTTTCCTGTTAACCTGTTTTTGGTATTTCCTCCAAAAACCTGTGGCTTTATGCTCACTGCAACTGCCTAGATATATAATTTTTTTTATCCTCACCCGAGGACATTTTTCCATTTTTTTGTTCAGATAGAGTGGGAGAGAGAGATAGAGAGAGAAACATTGATGTGAAAGGGACACATCGAGCTGCTGCCACCCACACAACCCAACCAGGGCCAGGGACAAGCCGCGACCGAGGTACGTGCCCTTAGCAGGAACCAAACCCTGGTCTCTCTGGACCACAGGCCAATGCTCTAACCACTGAGCCAAACTGGCCAGGGCTAGATTTATAATTTTTGATAGTTCATTTATTACTACCTATTTTATTCACCAAAGATAATTCTCACTAGTATTCTTAACGAAGTTAATAGTCAAGATATTGACTATATTATTTACTTTCACCTTGTTTATCTGTGATAACAAAGGAACCTATATTTATAGATCCCCCTATTAAAATGTGTGTAGAAACTAATGCATCTTAATTTTAACATCATGAAAAATGTTTTTTCTCCAGATACACTGTCTTTACTTTTACTAGTTGCTGTTAACTTGCAGAGATTTTCTTTTGCTTTTAGTGTTTGTCACTTTAACTGATTTGGTCATTGAAATGAAATTGTTAGATGTAATTTTTTTTTTTTTACAAAGTTCAGGAGAAAAACAAGCTTCTTAAAGAATGGTTATTTCCCATTTGTTTCCAAATTAATTTGATTTATTAAGCAACTATTATCTATTGAATTGTGCCATTTTAGAGAAAATTGTGTTAGAATACAAGAAGCATCATCCTGAGATATATAGACATCTTAATGATAGCAAGTTAAACATGTATGACAGATGTCCCCGTAGATTAGTAGACTGAAAATTTTCAGAAGAGTTTCATCAACACTGTGTAGAAACAGCACTTATTATCTCTGTAATAGGCCCTTGGAAAAGTCATTTAGCCTATCTGACTAAATTTCTCATTTATAGAATGGTGGTAATTAGTCCTACCTCCTAGGATGATTTTGAAGATTAAGAGTAAAAAATGTAATGTGTTAACTACAGTGACTGGCATATAATAAGTGGTCATTATCATTATTATTAATTTTAAGACCTGTATTAGTAACTCCCAATAGATTTCTTCCGGAATTGATTGTGCTAATTTTGAGTGGAAGAATGTGTCCGGGATCCCTTTATTTAACTCCAAGATTATTACTAAATGAGGTGAGAGGACTCTTAATTTTTCCACCCCTTAACAAAGTTGAGTTCCTCTTCGAGAACTTGTTCTAGCCTTTGTCTGTTTTTCTCTTCTCACTCAAAGTCACTAGATAGGTTTTTTTGTTTGTTTTTGTTTTAAGTCTTCAGAGATAATCTAAAGATCCATATAGTCATTCACATGGTAGGTAATACTGTTTTAAATAGATGCTTAGACTTTTTCTATATAAAACACTTGAATGTAAAATATTCATAGTTATCACACAGGTGTATGAGTAATATTATTTAGCGTTAAGCTTGCCATGCCCAGTTTGCCCCTTATCAAGGGTAGGAAGTAAAATATTGGAAGGCAGTATATTGAATTTCGAACTAATCTTTATTCCAGTCTACCAATCTTTACCCCACCAATGGTATTTCTGGCAAAGTATATAATAAATGCCCCATTCTGGCTATGCATAAGTTCCGTAGAATTTCAGATCCGTTTATAAATCATTGCAAATCTGTAGTTAATATCAACCTAATCTTTGAATAGAATTCCAGACACCTTCAGTGACTTTTTCAACAAAATGCTTCTTTTTAAATAAAGCTCACAAGTCAAATTGTACAATTCAGGGTTTTTTGACTCTGTGAATAATTAGCACTAGTGTGTACTGTATTAACAAGCTAGTAGCCAACACACTTATATTTACTATGTGTAGTTTAACAAAAATATTTATGTTTACAAATTTGCAAGTGTATCTTTGAAATGCATATGAAACATAAAACATTCTGGAAAAAGATGATTAACGTGCTTATCAACTCTCACAGAATGTCAGTTAAATCCCTTCACACCCCTCAGTTAATACTGAGTCTTGTTGGAATTCAACCAAGTGCATGTGGTAGGTATCCCAGTTTGGGGCTTTGTAAAGGTCTTTCATGTTTTCTATTCTCTTTTACATTTATCCAAGGTACAAATAATTGCATGAGGTTCCCTCCATTTTTATTTTGTAATTCTATACTTCTGGCCCTTCCCCTCCCAAAAGGCTACTTCATATGTCCAGCAAAATGTTGTAAGATGTCTGCCCTCCACCCAAGACAGAGTCGATCATCTTTGACACCTGCTTAGTCTCCTGAGTCTGCTACTGAGTGTAATTCTCACCACTGACCAGGTCAGCTCTACAGATTCTTCTTAGCCTAATTCAGTCCATTTTTTCCCCAAAAATTGTATATTAAGATAACTACATCAATATATGTTTGCAGCTTAATAAGCTTGTGTAAAAAACATTCTTGAGCAAACAAAGATCAATTTTTTTCAGTGGTGAGAGGCTGGTTTCAACCTAGTTACTTGTTATGGGTGTGAGAGCTTACAAATGATAAACTCACATTATTGATTGTTTTAAGAATCAGTTTTTGAAGTGAGGGCTCTACCCTGCTCTGGGAGTTGAACCCCCTTGCTGTTGTTGATACCTATTTTTTTTTAGACTGTTTTTTTTTTTTAATTTACTTTCTTAAATGATAAATTATTCACTTTGTTTAAAAACCAGCATTATAAAAAAGATGCAGTTAATGGTCTCCCATCCTCATCTCCCAGTGATCTAGTTCCCACACTATCCTCTCCACTAGGTAACCACTGTTCTCAGTTTATGATTTCTCCTTCCAGAAGCTTGTTATATAATTAATGGCAAAAATAAAAATTGAATAGTATTTTTCTTTTTTATAAGAAAGTAACATATACACGTTATAGAACATGTGTTTTACCTAATATGTCATTGATATGTTTCCATGTCACTATATAGGGAGCTGCCCCACTCTTTTTTCAAAAGCTGCCAAATACTCCATTAAGTCAAAGATCATTTCTGTAGCCACGCCCTCATTTATCATTTTGCTATTATAAATAATGTTTTAATTAACATCCTTGTGCAAACATGTTGTGTAAGCATATCTGTAGGATAAGTTCTCAGAGCTAAAAGACATTGGATCCATTACTCTGAGAATGAGAATCTCAAGGTTTTATAAAGTCCTAGCAGGAAAGGAACACCAGTGTATGCTTTACTCCTCAATCCTTTTGCCCATATTCTTTTTTTCAGACTTTCAGACTTCTAATTTCTACTGCCCTGTTTTTGTACCAGGTTTGCCTCTTTTTTACTATAAGATCACTTCCAGCTACACCTCAAAGCTAACTCTTGGCTGCTTTCAGTATCTTCTTTCCAGAAACCTTAAGATGTTGACCTAATAAGCATAAGAATTTGAGAATTGGGTGAAACCTTTTTCACACCCACACCATGGAAAGCATTAAATGCGTATATCTAAAGGGCAATAAGTTTGCAAGGTCTCTGTAATTCACTCTGTGATTTAGTGAAAGCTCACCATTTCCTTTCTTCCATTTGATACTACAATGCAGTCCTCTGCTTGACACTCAAAATTTAATATATATATACACACCTTTCTTTTCTTTTTTTTTTTTTTTTGGTTGGAAAGGTTAAGCTCTAGTTTCAGCCCAACTTCAGTCAGAAATTTCCTTTGGAAAGGAGGGGTTTTTATTGCTCTGTGAAATTCATCAAATTAAATTAAAGGGCTCTGGATTTTATTTGATTTTGCTCATAACAAATTTTTGATACCTCCTTTTCCCCTTTCCTCAGTATTTGAGATTTTTTTCTATTGTGCATGATAGAGGAATGCTGCTAAGCTTGCACTTGATTAACCTGAAATTGTTTTGAGTAATTCTGCTTTTTTGGCTTTTTGTACCTAATCAGAATTGATGTGACTGAAGTACAAATCTTCATAATAATCATGCATTTGCTGGCAGTGATTGGAGGACCACCTTTTTGGCAATCCATGGTAATTTTGTTCGCATTGTGTACCCATGTAATGCATGCTGTCTTTGCTTGTGTTTCTAATATATGATAATGCAGTTAAAGGGTAATATGTAAAATTGTTTTATTCTTTCTGAAAATGAGAAGTCACAGCAACAGTCAGACACAAACTTCTCTTAGCGCCTGGTGAATTTTACTAATTGAGTTATATTGCACATTAGGTGCCTTCCAGGGCTACTTTTGAAGGCTGTCTGAATTATTATTTGTTATCCCATTTTACAGCTGAGGAAACAGCAGGTAATATGTCAAATTAACCAATGACAAGATTAAATTAGACCTTTTATTCTCTTTCTGAACTCTGAGTTTTTTTTTTGTCATATGCTTAAAGCTGAATAACAAATTTGGGGGAGTAAGTTAACTCTGGCCCCGAAACAGAACAATTGCTTATTGACGCCAGTGCGATAGGATTTCTTTAACAAGCCAGGACCTGGATTTTCAACCTGAGCTAAAAGATAGTCTCCCCTACAATCACAAAGTCTTTTCTGGAAACCTCTGAGATAGGGAGTATAATATGTATAACTTGGAGGCGGAGAACACAGGCTCAGGAACCGGCTGCCTGAGCCTGCTCCAGCTCCACGGCCGACTGCGAGAGCGTTGTCTGTTACCCCGCTCTGCTGCTTCGCCTCCTCCTCTGTAGAACCAGGACAGTAGGACCTGTCTCATCAGGTTATTTTGCGGATTAAATGAGTATATATGTGTAAAGTTCTTAGAACAGTGTCCAACATATAATAAGCCCTCAAACATTGCTGTTCTTACAGCTAGAATGTATCCTTCCTGATTTTAGTCGAAGTGGTTTGTCCTCCCTGGTCCAGTTAACTGCTGACCACTACCACCACCCATTCAGAATACAATATTTGCAATTTACTTGGTGTTATCTTACCAAAAAGATTTACTACTCCTGAGCAAAGGCAATTCTTAAAAATCATTAATTTTAAGGTATAAGGGAAGTTTACTGAGCAAGAATTTTCCTTTACCTAAGTCACTTTATGATGGTAAATTAGATGCTTGAAGTGTAATTAACACACTTCCCTAAGTATTTATTACCAGATTGTTTAATGACCTTTATTTGGGGGGGGGGGGGTTAAGGGGAGATGAAGGAATATAAACAATCCATAGTGAACCTGGAAATTTTTGAAACTATTCAGATTCACATCTTTCCTACACATTAGTCTCTAAAGCCAATTTGGCCTCTAGTGAAATCTGCAATCTATAGATTTCACTAGAGAATTGTTATTACTTTCACTCTACTAGGTTAATAGTTATATATGTTATTTTTAAAACAATTCAGCAGTAGAGAAAGGAAGGATTTTTCTTTTCCTAAAACTAGATCATAAAACCTACCTCCACTTAAGTTTATTATATCTCTTGACTATATTATTTTTATAGGCTTTGCGTTTTATACCAAAATCCCCTTCCAAAATTGTTTTGAAGATCTTAAACATACATAAATTACCATAGTTTTAGCATACCGATAACTAAAAGAAAATGAGATTCTGGCTCAATCATCCAGAAATAAGTCAGCATCAGGTATATATACCTATAATCTTTATCAGTATGGAAATACATAAAGCATTGTTGTAATTGAAGTTATATATACACATATCCTTATTTTTTAGGTTTTGCCTGGCAGTAAATTTGCTTCAGGTATACCTGTTGCCTTTTTAAAATTAGGATTTATACACACAATCTTCACATGTACGTAACAGATATTTTTTTCTTTAAAAAGGACCAGATATTTTGTCCTATCTTTATTGATAATTAAGGTAATATAATCATCTTTTTTTATTAAATGTTTTAATAAGTAATCTGAGCACCTCTCAAATTCAAGAATAACAGGGTTTGCAGACCCAGCAATCCAATTCCAGGATTCGTGAGATTAGGTTGCAGCAGAGAAACAAGTCCCTGGCCCCTTCTTATTATTAGCATCACTGGTCCTACTCTCACCATCAGTAAATTAAAAGGGAAGGACTGGACATCACTGGTGCTCTTTGGAGGCTTGAAGAAATAATCTCTGTTCTTTGAGCAATTCACAGTGCAGATTCCCAGAATTGACCTCAGACCACTGCATTTCGCTTTTTCTTTTTACTTGACCCTTTAAAATTTATTGCTGAATATGTTAGTTCAGGAAAGATTGCTACTTATAGTGTTCCCACTCATTTGTGGGCCAAAATGGAAAGGTGATTTGTTTAGGTCCTAGATGTGAATTTTTCATCTCTTTTGAGGTTGATGTCATAAAATGGAAATTGCTTTCCAAATCCTAATTAAAAGGCTTTTACTAATATTTAGAAAGCAAATTTGTGGTAAACACAAACAAAAACAGTGCAGAGGTCTTCATAAAGCTGATTCCAGAAGATCAGCTTTCACGCAAAGGTAAGTGATTTATATCGACTGCATATGGGGTACCCATTTCTTGCTGCTCCTCTTTTTCTTCAAAGAGATAAGGTTGGCATTTTGTTTGTTTGCTTTGTTAATCCTCACCCGAGGATATTTTTCCATTGATTTTTAGATGCGGGAAGGGGGGGGGAGCGGGGGGTAAGAAGAAACATCTATGTGAGAGAGACACATCAATTGGTTGCCTCCTGAATGACCTCGACCAGGTCTTGGGATCAAACCTACAACCCAGGCATGTGACCTTGATTGGGGATCAAACCCTCTACCCTTTGCTCCGAGGGCCGACTCTCCGACCCCTGAACCAAACCGACCCAGGCAAGAGATGCGTTTGGTTGGGTACTTTTTGTCTTGTTTTTGTTTTCTTTTTTTTTAAGGAAAAAATATTTTATGTACAAAAGTCCACTGGTGCATGGTGTACATGTTGCAGGAAATAAAACAACACATTTTTGTGTGTGTGTTGCTTCCCCAAGGATATATCCTTTAGGAATGTCTTGGAACTATCTTTTTCATATCACTCTTTTGAAGTAGGGGAGAAGAAAATACTGCTTTGAATGGGACCCACAAATAATCCCCGCAGAGTTACTTTCACTGACATTTGAATCTTAAATGTAGTGGTTGATTAAATGTGTATTAAGCCATGAGACACCTATTCGTTAAGTAAAGCTCAAGACTGAAGGCAGGGGGTGAGGGTACGCTGCAGCAGGAGCAGGAAGGAGGGTGTCAGTGGGGGAGAAAAGGAGGGACATCTGTAATACTCAACAATAAAGATAATTTTTTTAAATAAAGAAAGAAAAAAATGGAATTTTTTTTAAACACTGGTGAACATGTAATTAATGTTACATTGTGTTTTCATAGAACTTATATTAAATGTATTTACAAATAGTCATATTCCACATTCTTTGGAAGAAAGTAATCTCAAAATGATGCTTTCTGTTTTTGCTGAAATTTACAAAGCTTATAAGAACATTTTATTATGCTCATAAGAAAGCTAGTCTAAGAGTTTAGTAACTGTTATTCTATATCAACCCAAATTATTGAACCAAAACATGGGTCTATTGTTATCTGGTAAATTGGAGGGCTTTAAGATTTTTTTCCATTTCTAACCTTTGAAAAAATGAATTACACTAGATTTGTATTATTTTGAATGTATAATTTCATGGCATGAATCCAGAGGGTCTTTCCTGGCCTATAGGGCAAGCAGTAGGACCCCAGGGAGTTCTTATCCTTGCCAGTCTCATAGGCCACCAGAGCTCTGGGTAGGCCTGAGATACAGGTGTTTTCATGCAGCTTCCTGGCTGTTTCTGACCACCTGGAATAGATGGACAGAAGAGAAAGACTGGGAAAGACAGAATGTGCCCACTCTCCTTAACCTTGGCTGTGAGGTGAAAGTGGCAACACTTTTAGTGATTTATTTTTCTTTCTTTTTTTTTATCCTCACTCGAGGACATTTTTCCATTTTTTGTTCAGATAGATTGGGAGGGGGAGAGAGAGAAAGAGAGAAACATCGACGTGAAAGGGACACATCAGGTGCTGCCACCTGCACATCCAACCAGGGCTGGGGACAAACTGCAACCAAGGTACGTGCCCTTAGCGGAACCGAACCTGGGTCTCTCTGGGCCACAGGCTGATGTTCTAACCACTGAGCCAAACCGACCGTGGCTTTTAGTGCTTTTTCTTAAGTGATTCAGTTGGTGCCGATTTTTAAGGGATCACCTGGAGAGTCTTGGGATTCCTCTGACCCCAGCTTTCCCTTCACTCTACCTCCGATCTTCTGGTAGCTAACTTCCCTTTTCTCTCTCAGTTGTGGGGCAAGGTGGTCTTTATACTCTCTCAAAACAGTGATTTTACATGGAGAGTAAGAGGAAGGGAGATCGTCATTCATTCAGGTGTATATTGAGCCCCTACAATATACAGGGCTGGAGAGAGAAGATAAAAATAAATTCAAACAAAATCCTGCCCCCGAGAGCGTACGTTTTGGTGTATATAGCTGTCATATATGACACGCGAAGAGGGTCCTAACAGTGTTTATGATACTTGCTTTTGAGTCTGTACTCGCTTGTCACTTACTTTGTGGTCCAAGCCATTTACTAATTTGCCTGGCTTTTCTAATGTTTCTGTTTATTCTCCCTTCTTTCAAAGGGCAACCATTTTCGTGATCCTAAAGCCTTTTCCAAATTTTAAATACATCTGTGACGCTATTCCGTTCATTTTCGCACAGATCACTCACTGCTAGGCCAGAGTTGGCACTCAGTTCATTCCGCTGGCCCACATTCAGGCAGGCCCACTAATGCCTTTCTTTTGAAATCTGGGGGAGTGTAGTATTTCCCCCTTGCCAGACAGATCCTTTGTCACAGGAGGGAAAAGGAAACCAGCCAGCATATCGAATTTCAGCCAGGTGTATCAGATTCAGGTAGTAATATTTCCAGTTTTCTGAACTATAGCAGAAAAATCTCTTGGAGTTCAAGCAACCCATGGTATTGATTTTCTCTTTTATTGAAAACATGTTTGGGATTGGTCTATGGCGTTTGGAGATCAATTAGGAAAGGAAGACAAGCATTTAGGATGGTCCATGAAGTTCTGGACTTGAGTTTTAAGTTGACCTAATTCATTTTACAAACTCAAACACTGCCACAGTACAACTTGAAATTTGAACAGTTGGTTTCAACTTTTTTTTAGAGCTGCAGTTTTGCAAGAGGTCATAGAATTGTGTAAACAAACAGAGGTCGTAAGAATTTTGAAGAAATAGAGGTTCTAAACATTAAGAATTATATCTCTACCAATTTTACTGTGGTTTCACACATATAAACAAATAGGGAATTTCACATATCCGGTCTGATTTTAAAAGTATAGGCAGATGACAGCCCTGAAAAGTGTGAACAGCCCACATTAAATTATTTTCATTGTAGAAACTCACTGCCTATTAAACCTTGTGGGCTTTGTTTCTATAATCATTTGTTTCTTAATACAAGTGTATTTAATTATAAATGATGGATTTGTGTTTGCAAGATTAAATACATGATCTCAATCCACTCAGCTCCCCTTATTTTAGGTAAATCAGTCATTTTCAGTACTATAAAATATATTATTTACCTCTTGAGAAGTAAGTTTATATGTTAAAATTTTGAATACATAGTTGTAGAGCTGTACGTACTTGAATGTATTTGCCATGTACTCCCCCCCACTCCACCCTTATCTTCCCCAAACCCCTACTTCACCCCTCCCCCAGCAGATGAATGCCTTCTTGGTTGCCCTCTGCTTACTAACTGCTTGTATGCTAACAGTATGGCCTTGGGAACTCTTCTGAGTAGAACTTTTATCTTCCGTTCTCTAGTTTACTGATTTTTTTTTTTCAATCTAGTTGCAAATATTTTTAGTCTTTTATGATCCACACTTTCTCTACCATGACAATTAGTAACAAATTACGGATATAGAGGTAGAGTTAAAAAATGCACAGAGAAAAAGTCAGAGTACACATTTCTGATAAAAACACCAGAAACCAGCCTGGTTCACTTGCCAGACTTCTGGAATGTGTTAAATGGACTTTACTTAGCTTATGGCTCAAATTAATAAAGTTGGATCCATTTTTTTTTTTTAAAGATTGATGTCAGAAGTGAGATTAATGTCCATATAGCCTCATCTCTTGAGACTTGTTACATCACTTATAATGGAAAGGAGAGAGAAACTTTCATTAATTTAAGTATTTACTAAACTGGAGGATATGGAGAACATATCAAAATGTTTGAATTGAATATTTGTTCTGTTTTCTTATTTTAATTTGTATATATTTTAATTGTTCTTTCTCTCTACCTATTAAAGATTCCAGTGCTGAATATTCAAGTGAAAATTTTTCCTGCACTTTGTACTGTAGCAGGGACCATATTTTCCTGTACGAATTACTTCCGTGTAATCTTCACAGGTGGTGTTGGGAAAAATGGATCCACAATAGCAGTGAGTATAGCTTAAGCTTCCCAGTGATTGTTTATGCTAGGACTTGGTTTTGTGGTCACTTTGCTTTTTTTCTTTTAATCCTCACTTGAGGACATTTTTGCATTTATCTTCAGATAGAGCGGGAGGCAGAGAGGGGGGAAGAGAGAGAGAGAAACATCGATGTGAGAGAGATACATTGACAGGCTGCCACCCACACGACCCCAACTGGGGCCGGGGACAAACTACAACCGAGGTACATGTCCTTAGCGGGAACCGAACCCGGGACTCTCTGGTCTGCAGGCCGATGCTCTAACCGCTAAGCTAAACTGGCCAGGGCAGGTCACTTTGCTTTTAATTTGAGTTGTATCAAATCACTTGTTAACTAGGAGTTTCTACCTTGTCTTTTTTTTTTTTTTTTTTCTTTATTGGTTTTTGAGAGAGAGGAAAGGAGAGGGAGAGAGAGACAGAAACATCGATGAGAGAGAACGATTGGCTGCCTCCTGCATGCCCCCCACTGGGGATTTGGCCCACAACCTGGGCATGTGCCCTGACCAGGAATCAAACCCATGATGTCCTGGTACACAGATCAACGCTCAACCACTGAGCCACACCAGCCGGGCCCCACCTAGTCTTTAAAAAAAGTAATATCCAAAACGTCAGTTGTATTTATATGTGTATACATGTATATGTTTATATGCATAATTTTGTGATATACGCACACTTTTATACACATATTTTTATAAAGTACAACCTGCTTTATAAAATAAACCTGGCCTCTTAAAAGTAAAATCCTTGGATTGCGCCTAACCAGTCCAGGCTGCCGCTTTTCCTTAGCTGTTCTGATGTTCCCTTATAGAAACTGCAGGCAGTCAGGCTCCATGAGGTTCTTACAAGTTTGAGTTGATCCATATCAAATACTGTTAATTCCTCTCCTCTACTTCGCACAGGGAACAAGTGTCCTTTCTCCTTTTCTCCATATTGGGTCCGTGATTACATTAGCTGTGATGATCTACAAGAAATCAGCAGTGCAGCTTTTTGAAAAGCATCCCTGCCTTTATATACTGACATTTGGTTTTGTATCTGCTAAAATCACCAATAAGCTTGTGGTAAGCGTGAAAGTTTTTCTTTGTTTTTTATTTTCATTTTAGTTTGGTTTTATGGCCATAGTTTTCATTCCATAGTGTCCTGAGGAGTCCTAGAGTTTGCCCCCCTCCAATCAGACTCTCGCCATCCACAGGGGAGCTGTGTGTACCTTAAGCTCCTTGAGCCACTGTAACTCTTCTTTCTCTCCACAGTTTCATTGGCTTGTTTTGCTCATCTGCATTCTTCAGTCTCAATCTAGACACTCAAGTTAGGCTCCTGGTGAGAAGCATCTTTTGGGGGCTTAGTTGACGTGGTAGATCCCTTTAGTGTGTAGCTCTTACACACACTTCATGTTGTCAGGTTTTAGTTCTGGAGATTTAACACATATTACTAAAGAATTCTTGAAACTTGATATACTGATTTACTGTGTAGCTCACAATTGCTCTAACACAGAAATGCCCGCATCATTGTTCTTTTTTATTCCCAGGTGGCACACATGACTAAGAGTGAAATGCATTTGCACGACACGGCATTCATAGGCCCAGCACTTTTGTTTCTGGACCAGTATTTTAACAGCTTTATCGATGAATATATAGTACTTTGGATTGCCCTGGTAGGTATTGTATTTCATAGTGTGGAGGATAAATGGGCCAGTCCTGAGAGAGAGTTGTTATAATTGTAATGATTTGGAATGTAAAACCACATTCATGGGACTTTGTGAGAGTTCCTTGTGGTTTTGTCTTTGAACCATTTTTTCCAATATTATTAATTCTGCTTGCATTCAAGCTTATAAATTCCATATTTCTGATTATAAAGCAAGAGTTGACAAACTGCACCCTGTGGGCCAATGGCCTGGTTTTGTAAATGTTTTATTGAAATACAGCCGTGGCCATTTATGTAAGTATTGTGTATGAATGCTTTCATGCTACAGTGGCAGAGTTGAGCATTTGTGACAGATACTGTGGTCCTCAAAGCCTGAAAATAGTTACTGTGTCTCTAAGAAAGAGTTTGTTGATCCTTGATCAACAAAGGAAGAATCAGTGAGGTACTGAGTTACTAAATTGTACAGAATTGAGGGTGAATCTGAAGAAGAGAGAAGAAAGTCAGAAGCTACTCCTCTTCACTTTCAGGAAGCTTAGGGACGGCTCAGCAGGTCCTGAGAATCTAATAGTCTCTTTTCTTTCTAGGTCTTCTCTTTCTTTGATTTGATCCGCTACTGTGTCAGTGTCTGCAATCAGATTGCATCTCACCTGCACATACATGTCTTCAGAATCAAAGTTTCTACAGCTCATTCTAATCATCATTAGTGATGGAGTGATGTTCTATAGGAAACTCATGTTTTCTGCAGGAAAGAATCTGAACATATTCATGAGAATGGGGAGGACAAGAACAAATGTAATTTATAATAATCACTGTTGTATAACTTTTATTCTTTGTTATTGGTAACACTCCCTAATGATTCTGGGTGAGAATGGGAATTTCAAGTCCCGTCCTGTAAATTGTACATGTTGAAATACGGGGTTTGGCCCAAGAAAGTGTGTAGGAAAAAATGCCACATGTTTATAACTGTCCTGGATTCAGAATAAGATTGTCATGGGGGCAGATCCCCAGCAGTGGAGATTTCTTATGTAGAATATTTACAGGCCAAAAAACGGTTGCTTTATAATTGAACAAATCATCACCTTTTAGTGACACCTTTGATTCGTGTCTTGTCAAGCTTTCTTTACTGAGAACTCGGCTTGTGGCCCAGATGTATCCCACTGGCTTGTGAGGTGGAGCTAGCGACAAACGCCTTGAATTTGGATGGAAGGCTTTTCTGTCCTGCCCTTGTTGAGGAAGTCAGTTTTAATTAGCATTGGTGTCTCTCTCGGGCTGGGGAGCCCTGTCAGCATGTGGAATAATGTACCTTTGTTGATCCATTTTATTTTTTTAAATAAATATATGATCTGAAAGCCAGTGGGTTTTTTTTTTCCAATTTTATTCACTGGAAATATAAACTATGTTTTAATGTCATTTTTAAAACTTTAAGCAAAATTAATTTCTGTTCTTTAATAAACAAGAAAATTTGGTCAGCTGTGTTGTTATTATGTATCTTGTAACCTTTCTGTTTTGTATAAACTGTTCCACTTAAAACATAGAACTGTGTTAATTTTTCCTCCTGATAGTTTTGTTGTAGTTGTTACCCTGGCCTACCCGCCAAAGACCCTTGCGTCCTTTGCATAGCATCCAAGGGCCTCTGAGGGCCACACTCACAAACATGCTAAAGAGATGGAGTTGTCGAAAGACAAGGTACTTCTTAACGTTCCCCGCCCCTTCCCCCATTTCAGCAGAAGGTGGGAGAGGTGTGGCGGGAAGGTGGACTAGGTAACCCCAAACTCCTTCGGACTCTGGCGATCTATTTTCTCAAGAAAAAAAATTTTCAGTCTGGGGAACCCTCCACCTTTAGCTGGAGTTGAACTGGAGCTTCCTAAAATAGCAAGTAGGAGGTAGTATGTCTAAAACGGATGGTTCCAAACTGGAGGTGATGGGCAGACCTGTGTGATGGAAGCCACGCAGCCTTCTCTGGCTCTGTTCACGGCGATTCCTGCCCTTCACTCTGGCTCGCAGCCCTTCCTCCCGGAACCTGGAAAGCACACCTGTCTGCAGCCAGGAACTGCTGTCCTGTCCCCAGTGCTGTTGCTGCTTGGACCTGTATGTCCTACCCTCCCTGGGGGAAGGGAGCTGCTGGCCCTAGGACTCTGCGCTCCAAACACAGCCAGAGCTCTGGGCCACCAGGGCCAGGTTCTCTACTTCTAGTCCAGGCACTCACATTCATTCCCTCGTTTTTCTGCTCTTCCCCCAATAGTGGAAGCAAAAGATACACATATAAACATGAATATTTTTGTTTTATTATCCTCATGTGTCCATAGACCTTTTTATGTGGAAAGCCTGAGCCTTTGGGCCACAGCTGCTTCCTCTGGAGGGTGGTGCCCCCTGGGACAGGGCAGTCACAGCGACGTCCACGTCTGTGGCCCCTGTGCACCGTTTCCCACTCGACGTCACCTCTGCAGAAAGTGAATCCTGCTCTGAGCACAGAGGTCCGAGCTGTCCGAAGTCTTGAGAAAGCGGATTCCAGGGATCCCAAACTCAAGACACCAGCTCGAAGCAAGACCTGATTACCAGGACTCGGAAGACTGTCTCGCGCTCAGAGCTTCGCTGGCCCTCCTGTGAGGGGCCGAAGTCCAAACTGGTCTGTGGGTCTGTCACTGCTGTTCACCACAGTCCTTATTTCACAGACTTTTCCCTTGATTTGTTATGTTTCTTCTGTTCCTCATATTCAAGTATTTTCTGTTGGAAATAGCCTGTGGGTTCAGATAGAGGTGTTAGAGACATCTAACCTGGCCAGGCAGACTCCTGAGCCCAGGGACGAGGGTGAGGAATATCCTTCTGTCTGCTCCCCATGCCCCTCTACACCCACTTTCTTTTTAAATCCTCACCCGAGGATGTTTTTCCATTTATCTTCAGATAGAGTGTGAAGGAGAGAGAGACATCAATGTGACAGACACATCGATTAGTTGCCTCCCGCATGACCCCACCAAGGCTGGGACAAACCCTAACCAAACTACGTTCCCTTGACCAAAATTGAACCAGTGACTCTTTGGTCCACAGGCCGATGCTCTAACCACTGAGCCAGGGCTACACCCACTTTCTTTTTTTCTTTAATCCTCACCCGAGGATATTTTTCCATTTTTTGTACAGATAGAGTGGGAGGGAGAGAGAGGAAGGGAGAGAGAGAGAGAAACATCGATGTGAAGGGACACATCGAGTGGCTGCCACCCGCACAACCAACCAGGGCCGGGGACAAACTGCAACCGAGGTACATGCCCTTAGCGGGAACCGAACCCGGGTCTCTCCAGACCACAGGCCGACGGTCTAACCGCTGAGCCAAACTGGCCAGGGCTACACCCACTTTCTTGCTGGGGAATTCCCATGCCCTCACGGGGCCCCTGGAGATCCACGTATTCCATTTGGCCCCAAAAGGGGCCCACAGAGTAATTAGCTCCAGGCTCAAAGAGCAAAGGGCCTCCTGCTAGGGGATGAAGAGAGCAACTTATACAAAATGTTAGCCCAGGGGGCATCCTTAGCCTTCAGGTTCATTCTTTCCAACTCCCTGATTGATCACTGCTGTTCTGTGGGCCTCCAGAGGGAAATGCTCTCCCCTCTCCCTCCCGAGGGCCACACTTGACTGGGGCAGTGCCCTGAGGGCTTGGGCGGTGGGAGGCCCCGCACACCTGCAGGAGGGTTCTTGCTCCTCTCAGCTTCCTGGATGAAGAGGGAGAAGAGCTGCGTCTTCACAAACTTCTTCACGAAGCGGCGCTTGGCCTTGGAGGGCAGCGCCTTGCAGAAGGCCCGTTCCTGGAAGCAGCCTCGCCCGTTCGCCTCCCGCTTGATATAGGAGGCGTAGTGACCCACAGTTTTGACAAAGAACTGCACGAAAGGGCCTGAAACATGCTCATTGGTTTGTTCCGGAGCTGCAGGGGACACAGAGACACCAGCGGAGGGTAGCAGAAGGGGCTGTCACTGCAGGAGAAAGCTTTGTGGGGGAGGGGGAGGGAGGTGGGCTCATAATTACTGATTGACTCGTTAAAATGGGCGGCTGGGTGGAGGTTCTCTTCCATTGCTTAGGAAAAGTAAAATCTCTGACTTGCCCTAGGATCTAGGCCTCTGGGATTGGCCTGGGCCTGCAGAGCAGTTTCATTCTAGTTGTGGAAGGGGATGGTTGGAAATCATGCCCTCAGGGCCTTTGGAGAAACCCAAAATAAGAGGGGCCTAGGACTTACTCTGTAACTCACTGATCCCCTGACCAAGAGAGTCCAAGATGTCAGCCTGAAGCTTGGGTGGTAGGATGTCTTTCTCATCACCAACCTGGTAGAGGACAGAGTCAGGGAGGAGGTATGAAGTGAGGTGTTGGCAGAGAGGAGGGGGTGTGTCTGCACCCCCACTTACCCCCAAATTAGTAATTGGCCACATAGGATAGAAAGAACAGAAGCTGTTCCTTGGTGTTCAGTTTCACTCAACATTAGCACCTGTGGTATTTGGTTTGAACCTTTGCTCTGATTGCTTTGTGAGGTCACCTGTGTTGCCTCGTGGGCTCCTTGAGAGAGAAGTCTTATTAGCGTGAGTTCTTGCTCGGCAAAAGTACTTAAGTTGAAATAAGTGGAGCATGGATGAGACTAGAGTGAGTGAGTTGGTGGTGGACCTGCAGGGGATCTGAATCCGGATACTCACTGACATTAAGAAGGTTCCTTCACAAAGATTCACCAACAGAACCTGAAATAAACACAGAATGGCTTTATCTCTTCCCCTGTCTTCATAGACCTCGGGAGGATCTACCACCTCTTTTTTTGTTGTTGTTAATCCTCACTTGAGGATATTTTTCCATTGATTTTTTTTTTTTTTTAGATGGAGTGGAAGGGAGAGGGGGGAAGAGAGAGAAACATCAATGTGAGAGGGACACACTGGTTGCCTCCCACACAACCCTGACCATGGCCAGGGACGAACCTGCAACCCAGGTATGTGCCCGTGACTGGGAATCAAACCCGAACCCTTCGTTCTGGGGGCCAGCTCTAACCACTTAGCAAACAGGCCAGGGCAAAACCCAGCATTTTCAATGCTCATTTTCTGTTTGACATTCCTTTCTCGCCATTTCCAGTCTGGAAATCTCAGTTCCCTTCCTGGGGAAAGGGTATGAGGGTACAGGAGGGGGATGGGGAGAGCCAAGGTAGAAAGGGAATACAATATGAGGAAATCATAGCCAGTCACTCCCTTAATTAAGCACTGAGTAGAGTAACTGCTTCTATATATGGAACATTTAGAACAAGATAAATACTTTGCACATTTATTTCTTGTAACCCTCCCAGCAGTCCTGTGGAGGCATGTACTAACCCGACTCAGAAGCTGCCTGAGGTCATAGTGCTAACATATTGTAGAGCCAGCTTCCAAGCCTACAGCGCCCTGGCCGCAGGACTGCACCCCTCTCCCCACACGAGCCTTCAACTCCCTCTCTCCGGTCAGCTTAAGACAGTGATGGACGTCTGTTCGCCTTTCCATTCTTGCAACAGTTTAAAAACTCCCCCAGAGCTGTGGTAAACAAGAAGGAAATGAGCACAGGGCGAACAGGAAGAGGGAAGGGAAGGCAGCGAGGAGACCACGTGTCTGCAGGCTGCAGGTGAGACGCACACCGGGCTGGGGCTGGGTGCCCTACTCTGGTACCAGCTCCATCACTTGCCTGAGGGGCCTTCCGTCTAGACCAGACATTACAGAGACATCCCACTGGCTGGATTCCAACCTGCAGATCTGTTTCTTTGATCCTCAGAGCATTTTCAAATATCTGAATTCATTTCCAATGTTTAAATTGAAAAATTTCACATAAAGTTTGGATTGGGGGCTTCTCCTCAAAAGTCAGGAAGTCTATGGCCTGGCCAGGATGGTGGGGTGTTGTCCCGTGCACTGAAAGTTTGCTGGTTCAATTCCCACTCAGGGCACAGGCCCAGGGTGTGGGCTCTTGGTCCCCAGTAGGGGGTGCCCAGGAGGTAGCTGTTGGGTGCTTCACTCTCACATCAATGGTTCTCTCTCTCCCTCTCCTTTCCTCTTTCTCTAAAAATCAAAAAATTTATTTTTTAAAAAGTCAGGAAGTCTAACACTGTTCTTCATTTCTAAAGGACAACATTCAGAGGAAACTGAGTGCAGCTGCCCCTTTTGGGCTTGTCATGTGCTCAATCTCCCCAAAACCTGTTGGTCACTTAAATGCCTGCTGGGCTCCCCTTTTCAGTTTGGACCCTCGCCCTTGACAGTAGGGTGAATGATCCCACCATGTTCCCTTCTTCCAAATAAAAGGGAAAAGAGGGGCTGGAAAGTGTGCCAAGGGACAGAGCAGGCACTGTAATTATCTGTCATCAGGGGAGAACAGTTGAACTAGTCCAGGCCTGAAACCAATGTGTACATCAACTCAGATACTTCCATTCAGGGAAGCCTATTTGTTTGGGGGGTTGGGAGCAAAGAGAGCGGGTGAAGAATTTCTCTGTGAAGTCGTTCCCAAAAATCCTTCTTGTATTTGGGTAGATTGCTCTCAAGTAATCCCTCCCAAAGAGCCCATGTGGGGAGTCAGGTAATCGCCCCACCCCCACAGTAGCCCCTGCCCATTTCACGGGGCAGCTGCTGAGGCAGAACATAGGCCAAGGCTCTGGGATGGCAGGAGCTGTGTCCTTGCTGACCTTGGGATGTCTTCGTGCCTGGCTGTCTGGGGGAGGAGCCAAAGCTTCTGAGAAGCTGGAGCTGTGTCAGGAAGTTTCATAACGAATGGTATTGGGACATTTTAAGTCTTCTTGCTAAACAAGGGACTGATACTCTGTCCCAGTTAGTCACAAGGCAAACGTTCGTTCAAAGGGCGTGTGTACTCAGCAGTTCTGAGCAGGGCTGGGAAGGCCAGGAAGCAAGGAAGGAAAACATGTCTTTCCTTCCCAGCAACACTTAGTAGAAGGAGGGTTTGGGTTCTCCCTGCACGAAGTTCCATCACAGCCTGCACGGCTTCAGAAAAGCGCCCTGAGTTCTCTGCAGCTCAGTTATTTCTTACGTAAGTGGGGAAGGCCTCCCACTAGGGCTGGTTCCAGGCCCCTTCAGTGGCTTCCTTCCAGCCTGCCCCTGTGGTTGGCCTCGTCCGCACTGACAGTCAAAGCTAGCCGGTGCAGATGCACCTCCTAAGTAGCTCTTCTTGCTTGAGGTGAGTAACAAACATACTATCGCGAAACTTGCTGTTGACAACGCCAAGCAGGACGCATGTTTTGAGGTGTCCTTCCAACGTGAGATATCGATGTATGCTGCGAATGCCCGTTGGGGGGCACTGCCAAAAATAAGTTGACAGAATCGAAGGGCTATATCCTGATTGCCAACTGGACTCTCGGCTAATCAGAAAGACAACTCTCACTTCAAAAATCTGCATTTTCAAGATTCGGTTTTCAGTAGGGATACATCAGTTAGCTCATGCCAAAGGAATGTGAATGGATTCCAGTGGGGTGTGTGTTGTACAGCCCAGCTGTGCTTATCCATACAGATGGGCAGGGGACACCCCAGAGCCTGCTCAGTGGGACCAGCCGGCGTAGGACAGTTGGATGACCCCTCAGTAAGCTACGTGCTGCCCTTGTAGCCCAGAGGGAAATCTTTCAGGAGGAGAGAGCTAACGCTCATTGAGCATCGACTCCGTGTCAGGCACCAGGCTAAGGGCTTTATGTGGGTGATTTCCCCTAGAATCCCTAGGAACTGAATACTCTCACCCCCATTTTACAGAAGAAGAAGCTCAGGCTAAACGAAGTGAAGCAACTTGCCCCAAATCACACAGCCCTGAGTAGCAGAGCTGGGATCCGAACCCAGGTCTGCCTGGCCCCAAATCACACTTCTTCTTGCTGTGTCCTACCTCTTCCATGGGGCTCTCCATAACCTCCTGCAGAAAGCGCATTTGGACTCCAACCATGAAGGGAGTGGGGCAGCAGACAGTGTCCAGAAGGCTCTTGGGGACAACAGGGATGTAGGTGTGTGCCCAGCTGAAGGGGTAAAGCAGCGCGGCGACAGCGTGGATACACTGAGACAGGGTGCTGGGAACAGGGCACAGAGAAGAGAGTCAGAGGGGCCTCCCTGTGCCTCCACCCCCGGCAACCCCCCTGCCCATCACCCACAGCAGGTGCACAAGCAGGTCTGGGAGCCATGCTAGTCACCGTGACCGCTCACAGCTGGGAGGAGAGGGGCAGAGACCAGGAGAGGCTGAGGCTCCTTTCAAGGATGGGGCCTGGATTTTGTCCCCCTTTGCCAATTAGTCACCTCAGCTCTCTACGGAGCAAAACTAAAAGTGGCTCTAAAGAGAGGAGGAGGAAGAAATGCCTTCACTCAAACCGACCATCAACTGAGCCCCTTCTGTGTGCTCTCCACTGTGCTGAAGATGAGGAAGCCAGGAACCGAAAGACACTGCCCCTGCTTTTAAGGAACTCACAGCGTAGTTAAGGAGACAAACATGTAAACACTGGGTGAAGCCTCTTTCCTCCTCAGGCCTGTTCACCCGCCCCAGCCTCTCCCTCGCGGGCCTCCTCTGGCCACTGCAGGTTGTTTCAAGCTACCAGGTTGGGGCCTGAGTTAGCCTGGGAAATTCCTAGGTTCCAGGAACCTCACCCAGCAATTCCTACCAGGAAAGTCCCCCGAGGTGGCTCCTCTGCCTTTCCCTTTCCGATGAAGCATCCCCTGTGTAATCGCTGCCTCAGCCACACTCGGGGCCTTTCCTCCCCCCACCCCAACACACAACCCTGCTCTGTCTTCTTTGTCCCCCACTAGGTTTCCAGGCTCCGCACTTCTCCTGGTTGCCCCCAAACCGAAGCCAATAAAAACACAGATGCGGAAACCTTGCTCCACTGCTCCATATCAAGCCAGCACTTCCTGAGGGAGGGGGCTGAGCCTCGGAGAGTCTGGCCAAGGCTCAGGCTGCCTGGAAGTCCCCTCCGGGCCTGGTTCGGGGATCTGACAGATGGCGTGGCCAGGAAGTGGGGAGATGGGATGCTGAGAGGAAAGCCCTGTGGCCCTCGCCCCCGGCCGGTGACCCCCGGTCACGCTCACTTCCTAGGATGGATCTCAAGGGGAAAGGCCCGCATCCCAGCGCCAGCCACTCAAAACTTCTGTCCCTACAAGGCAGAGAGGGACCAGTCCTTCCAGAGCGCGAGGTTCCACCGCTGCCCTCGAGCGTCAGCCCAAACTAGTGCCTCTCTGCTGCCGCTGGTTTTACAGAACATTCAGCCCACAGACCCCGCTGGCTGCCCAAGCTTCTCCCCTCTGACAGCCGTGACATTCCCCTGACCTCCCTAGCCTGACCTTTGGATCCCTAACATCCTTTTTCTTCTTATTCTTCTTCCCTAAAAGCCAGAGCCAGAGTTGTCGGCCCAACGTCTTCGGCTTTCTCCCTCCGCAGACACGAAGAAAAGGCCAGCCTCCCACTGTTTTATATTTATTTTTCCTTCTTCATTCTGTCATGTCTCCCCATATCTTTTTCAGACTCAAAGCCCCAAAGAGGTAGAAACCAAGACATAACAGGGTCCCGCTTCAAGTACACACAGGGATGCACTCAACCGTGAACTTACTATTCAGAATAACAGCTCACACGTACTGACATGTGTCTGGCAGGGTCCCGGGTGCCTAAGGTGCACTATTTCGTTTAACCCAGCACCACCTTATGAGAGAGACACAGTCCTTTTCTCCACTTTACAGACGCTCAGCCCATGAGCGTTGTCCCATGGACTGAGAAGTCCCGGTTCAATGCCTCGGTCAGGGCACATGCCCGGGTCGTGGGCTCGATCCCCAGTAGGGGGCGTGTGGGAGGCAGCCGATCCATGTATCTCTCTCACATCAATGTTTTTCTCTCAAAAATCAATAAAAACATGTTTAAAAACAAAAAAGAAGCTAACCTCAGGGAACCACAGAGCTGAGAATAGGACTTAAGCTCCTTCTTCTGGGCAACACCTGTGCCCCCCCAGCCCCCCACTCCACTGTAGCGGCCACGGAACTCCAGATTCCGGGAACCTCACCCAGCAGCTCCCCTTACAGTCAAAGGTCCGGTCTTGTTTGCCTGAATCCTCCTGAATGTTTGGCATCTGACAAACAGTTGACACACACTGAATGTTTGTTGAATGAGTGAGTGAATAGATAGATGTGTTTGTCACTAAGGATGATGGCCTTGACCTCCATACCATTATTTGCCTCCCTGCCCAGTCCTGAGCCTTCAAGAGCGGAATCATCTCTGCATCCACCCTCATTGTCTCGGCCTAGGCTGTCCCTGAGCACTTCATGGCCTTCTCAGAGCTAAATCAGAAACCTCCTCGGGTCTAGGTAGCAATCAAGTTTGGAGGCAGAAGCAGGTTTAGTGCAGAGCAAGACTCGGAGGCCGGAGGGTGAGCACACAAGCCCTACAGCCCAACTCCCTTCGAGGAGCCTCCACTGTCCCCTTGACCCCGAGGGTGCCAGTCAGTTCAGGTGAGCTGCTCAGAGGCTGGACCCACCTGAGACCTTCTGCCAGGAAGATGATTCTTCTCTCCAGCACTGCGGAGGCAAAGAGCTGAAGAATCTGTTCAAAGCTGAGACATTGCAACAGAGAACTAAAATCCACGTGTTCTAGGTGGGAGTCCAGGGGCCGAGTCAGGGAGATGAACTGGGGAAACCAGAGAGACAGGGCGTCACCACACTGAAACACCACGCAGACCCCAGAGTGCTGGGCCTCCGACAGCCTCCATCGTCCCCACAGCGGTCAACCCAGACCTGTCTCTCCCTTGCTAAAACGCATCCATGTTTTCCTTCTGCCCTGGGGATAACACTGTCATCCTTGCCAGCCTCACAGAGCACACTCCACCTCTGGCCATGTTTGTCCCATCACCTCCTTCCTGTTCCTCGAGCATGTCACTTTCTGTCCAGCCTGAGGTCCTCAAGGTTAGGCCCTCCCTTGGACAGCCCTTCTCCCTTCGTTCTTGTCCTTGGAGACCTTCCTTGGCCACCTAAACAACATGTGTTCTCCATCCTTTCTCATGGAGCACCCTGTTTTTGGTTTTTTTCCTTTCATCACATACCATGTTTGATGGCATATTTTACATCCATCTCCCCCACTAGACTTTTAGTTCCATGAGATCATGGATCACGTTCATTTTATTCACCACTTTATAGGCACAAAATAGTTCCGCTCAGCGCCTAGCGAGCATTCCATACTTACTCTTTCAGTAAGTGAAAAAGCCCTTGTTTTTATATGGGGAGGCCAAGGTTCAGAGGGACACACAGATTATCCAGAGGACCAGGGGCCAGCACTGGAATTCTTAAAACAATGTTCTGCCTTAAAAAGTGGCATCCCGTGTGGCGGGGTGGGGACTCGGGTGGGGCGGGGAGATAAAAAGTAGACAGATGGAGGCCATACGTAGAGATGCAGGACCGACGCGGGAGGATGAGGGTGGGGTGTGAGGCAAGTGGCAGGTGCGAGGCTGTGGGGAAAGTCCATTCTAGCACCCGGAACCTCAGCTTACATGGTTTATTTATTATAAATAAGAGTCTTGGTGGCTTGAACACCGACTAGGTCCTTATGAGCATCTGGTTGGGAGGACCAGAAAATTTGGGTTTGATATTCAGCTCTGCCAATAATTCAAGCCAAGACCCAATCCCTCCCTGGCTCAGTTTCTCTGTGTGTTCATCTGGTGAATGGGAGGGCTGTAATGAGGTGCCACAGAAGCCTGCACCCTCCAACCAGGGAGGGTCTCACCTTTATACTGAACCCACCTCGGTGCCTGAGTCAGGGATGAAGCTCTTGAGGGTCACGGTCTTCCCAGGGGCAGGGAAGGCCGCCTCTCGGAGGCCCTGCATGAACGGGTAGATGACCGCCACCGAGATCTGGTGCCTCTTCTCCACCTCATCCAGGATCTGCCAGGAAAGGGACCAGGGGAGGCCTGGCTCAAAGGGATGCGACGGGGAGGGGGGCACAGACCCCATGTGTGAGCCTCGCACCAGCAGTGAGGTGGGGGGGCGCTGGTCCAGCCAAGCTTCCAGCATCTTCTAGTCCCCTCCACCAGCTGGTCCTCTCTCCTCCCTGGCACAGGCCAGCCTACTGCTGTTGCCTAGCCTTCTCTCCATCCTCCCTCTACCGGGCCATAGGCTCCCTCTCCTGACATTGACACAAACTGCCTCCTAGGAAGCCATCCCAGAGTAAACGCGTCATCCCTGGTGCTCCCACGTTCATTCGTGTTGGTTGGAATGGGAGCCTGGACGGTTGTCCTCTGGGGCCCCCTCTGCTCTCCGACTTCCACTGAATATGGCCAGGGCCAGCCTCTGTCCCTCAGCACCCTGAGCAGATGAGCGCTCCACCCTACCAGGGCTGACGGAGTTCCCTGCCTTCGTCCTCCAGCGGGCTTAGGGGCAGAGCACACAGAAGCCCTTCATGGCCACCAAGACACGCCCCACCCATTCTGAGGGACCCCTCTGATCCCAACTCAGGTGTACTGGTTCTCAAATGAGTTCTGGCAAGAGAAGTCCTGGAGGCCTCAGCGCCTCTTCTGCCCTGGGAGGAGCTGGAGGGAGCCCGCGCGGTCCAGTAACTGCCTCCCTATTCGTGAGAGCTCCGCCCCCCTCACAGGTCACCTGCCTTGAGCCTCGCAGCAGCGTGACACAGGGCGGTGCGGGTCACATACAGGCTTGACCGATAAAACTGAAACTCCAGATTCCTAACCTGGGGCTCCACCCACGGTCCCGCCAGCTGCTTTCTGACCAGATGGAGCGGGAGCCCTGGGCTCTCAGCAAGGGAGACGGTCCTCTAGGTTCAGATCTCACTTTTCCCTGAAATCAAGCCAAACCCAAGCCCCGCTCTGCCTCAGTTCTCCCACGTGGGCCTCGCCTGACCCCGCTGTGAGGGAGGTGGTCCCCTAAGGGCTCAGGGAGCCCAGGCGGGGCAGGCAGCCAGGCAGATGGGGAGCCAAACAGGCCCAACAGGCCCCGAGGAGCCCCGCACCAGCCCTACCTTGGAGAACAGGCCGAAGCAGCCGACGCAGCTGATGATACAGTACACCATGGGGAGCCGAGGGCCAGGGCCGGCGGGCTGGGGGACAGAGAGCCTCCCTCAGTACTGCAGCCTCCCAGGCCTTCCCCCACCAGGGCCAACAGGGCACGAGGCCACTGGCTGGGCTGGGGACTCATGATGAAAGGCAGGCTAGATGGAGGAAGGCCTGGCTGTGCAGAGGTCCCATTCATGGAACAGGCAGCAAAACGGCCAGAGCAGCCACCAAAGTCAAAAGAAGGTGGCTGTGAGGGGGCTGGTGGGCTCACAGGCGAGCACTGCCATCATCTGGGGTCAGCAGAAAGAAGGGACAAGGGTGCTGCAAGGGTTAGGACATGGCGAGGGAGGGCAACACTGTGAAAGTGACTTGGAGAGTCCTGAGAGCCCAGAGCAGGTGTTCAAACCCTGGTCTGCGCTCTGGGAGGCTCCTGGGGCCAAGGCACTGACGCCTGGACAGAGAAGGTGGACAGGAATAGGTTGGAGCCTCCCACCCAGGGCAGCTGTGGAAAGTCGGGAGAGCAAAGACCACAGCAGGGCCAGCAGAGGTCCCCTGGGTAGGTGCGTGAGGAGGGGCACACGTCCCTGTCCCCTCGGGCTGCAGAGGGCACTAACATGGCAGCCGGTGCTGGGCTGTGCTCTCTCTACAACCACCACTGCCAGGGAGCCTGGGCTTCTGCAGCTGAGGCTCGAGCAAGCCCAGCTGTGGAGCAGGGCAGGCTGCAGAGAGGAGGGGGCAGTTGTGAGCTGCACAGACCAAGAGGCGCCTGCAGTATCCAATCTTCCGGCTCCCGTCCACGTTGGTCAGGACGAAGGAGAAGGTCTCCCTGAGAAAGAGCAGACAAGGTCTTCATTGCCTCACTAGACGAGAACAGAGCGGGTGAGGCGGGCACAGGGAGCTGCTGATTCGTTATGAGAATTGTATTAAGTGCCTGTTGGTGTCAAGCTCCAAATGCACCATCTCATTTAATTCTGAAAATAACCCATTGAGGTAGGTCTGATTATTATTCCCACTTTAAAGTTGAAGGAACTGAGGCACAGAGGGCGTTTCTTATCCAAGGTCATCCATTCAACTAGTAAGTGGTAAAGCCAAAATTCGAACCCAGCCCTGGCCGGTTTGACTCAGAGTCCCTGTCGCAGGGCCAAGCAGTTACCTGGGGTACTCAGTAAGTGGTGCCCACTCGTTCCCATCTGGGAAGCAGTTAGAGCATCGACCCACAAACCAGAGAGACCCAGGATTGGTTCCCACTAAGGGCATGTACCTCAGTTACATTTTGGCCCTGGCCCCAGTTGGGATCGTGTGGGTGGCAGCCACTCAATGTGTCTCTCTCACATCGATGTTTCTCTCTCTCTCTTCCTCCCTCCTCCCTCCTGCTCTATCTGAAGATAAATGCAAACAAAAAAAAATGTCCTTCGGTGAGGATAAAAAAAAATTTGAGCCCTGGCCAGTTTGGCTCAGCGGTTAGAGCATCGGCCTGCGGTCCAGAGAGACCCGGGTTCGGTTCCCACTAAGGGCACATACTTCGGTTGCAGTTTGTCCCCGGCCCTGGTTGGTCGTGTGGGTGGCAGCCACTCGATGTGTTCCTTTCACGTCGATATTTCTCTCTCTCCCTCTCTTCCTCTCTCTCCCTCCCACTCTATCTGAACAAAAAATAGAAAAATGTCCTCGGGTGAGGATAAAAAAAAAAAAAAGTGCCCTGGCCGGTTTGGCTCAGCGGTTAGAGCGTAGGCCTGCGGTCCTGAGAGACCCGGGTTCGGTTCCCACTAAGGGCATGTACCTCGGTTGCAGTTTGTCCCCAGCCCTGGTCGGTTGTGTGGGTGGCAGCCACTCGATGTGTCCCTTTCACGTCGATGTTTCTCTCTCTCTCTCTGTTCCTCTCTCTCCCTCCCACTCTGCCTGAACAAAAAAGTGGAAAAATGTCCTCGGGTGAGGATAAAAAAAAAAAAAAAGTTGAACCCAGGCAAATTCCAGGGCTCATGCTGTAAGGGGCTTTGCTATACCACTTTCTCAGAGGCCACAGGCCTTCTTCTAAGTCCAGTTTCTGCCAGTGGCAGAGTCAAAACACAGAGACTGTCACTCCTAACACAGGGGAGAGAATCCCACCATTCTCTGCACAGAGGTAACTGGTCAACCTGGTTAGCTAAGCTCCTTGGTCTTAAGGGACCCCAGAAAGATGGATGTAAATGTATTAACTGAGTCCCTCCCCATCAGTAGGAAAGCTGGTGAGAATGGGATGCAAGTGAGGGGCCACAGGAAGCGCACGGTCACACTGGCCCTTCTCCCCGCATCCCAGAGTCCCTGTCGCAGGGCCAAGCAGTTACCTGGGGTACTCAGTAAGTGGTGCCCACTCGTTCCCATCTGGGAAGCAAAACAAGGGGATGGCACTGAGCAGCCGCTCCTCCTCCTCCTGTTGGCCCCGAAGCAGGTTCTCCCGCTGTAAGGAACAGGAAAGGAGACGAGCCAATGGTGCAGGTAACGGCAGGAGAGGGCCGGAGGGCAGGCGGGCTTCTTCTGGGCTCTACCGCAGTCTGAGGATAAGCCTTCCCACTGGCATGGGGTCCTCTGTCTGTCACTCTACACAGGGCCTTCATTCTGGGTCTGGCTGCAATGACCCCACGGAAACAGCCCATCCTGGGCCCAGTCTACATGAACCCGAGTTCAACTGTGTCGTCAGGAAAGGGGCCAAGGCCACACCCGAATATGGAAAGGCCCAGAGACCCCTCAGCTTCCTGCAAGGACCACGTCAGAGTAACACATCAGAGAAGAGAAGCAGCAGCTCACTTGCTGCGCTCTCAGGGCTAGTGAGAGTCTCTGTCACCCCGCGCAGAAGCAGATGAGCCCAGTGTGGGGCTGTGGCCACCGGCTCTGCCACCCTCTCCTTCCCACCCATCCCACAGGGGACGCCTGCAAGAAGCTCTGGGAGAAGGTAAACTTCTCTACAGAGAAGGGGGACTAGGAATGGAATCTGGGAGAACTAGGAGGTCCCAACAGGGGCAGAAGAACTAGCCTAGTTTCCTGGATAGGGAGCCTAGGTCAGCGCCTCACAAAGAAGCCAGACCTAGATTCTGTGGGTGATAAAAGAACACAGGGCTGGGCCTGCAGGAGACAGGAGTGGGTGAGCTCGGGGCAGCTCCAGACTCAAGCCCGGCAGGGTAGGGAGAGAGAGAGGACACCCCTGTCACTTCTCAAACACCCCATCCTTTGCCCCCCTCCCTCCTCCTGCAGTCTTTACCTTGGGAAACTGGTAGGTGATCATAGGCTCATAATCCTCCCCCGAACGCTTTTTTTTTAGGGAAACCACAAGGAGGTATTCAAAGAAATGCTGTCCTCCGGCAAAGCTGGACAGACAGCGCTCCTGGGTCCTCTCTGGTTCCTTTGCAGCCTCTTCTGGATTATCCTGGACAGATCCTGAAACCAAGACACGTGGCCCACTCGGTATCTCACAGATCCATGCCCCAAGTGGAGACTGCGAGGCTCCGGGTGACTTCAACTCCTCCAGGCCCCCTGCCAACGCTCCAGGTCCCTGGAGCCTGCCCAGCACCTAAGGTCCTGGAATGGGATCAGAACCAACTGGGTAGATTCCGTGCCTGCCCCGGGAGATGTGCAACCATATGGAGCTGAGGAGAAAAGAAACCACTGATTTGGAAGCCAAGAAAATGTACTGGGGAGGCCGTGGGAGGCCCCAGTACATATCCTATGCCCCAGGATAGCGCAGAGACTGTGCCTCCCTGTAGGGTGCCCAGCGTAGAACGTGGAACAGTATGCCTTGTAGACCTCACTAACTCAGAAAACCCAGGGCCATGTGGCTGTGACCACACTCCCTCAAGGGGTAGAACAGGCTCTAAAATCCAGCAGGGAAACCTCCCAGTCCAGCCACATGGGGTACAGGGTAGAGGTCAAGATATAAAAGGAAGAAGAAGAAGTGTTTCAAGGAAGAAACAGCCCCAAGGAAGAGAGTCAGCGTGGAAAAAAGGAAGTGGGCAATCCAGTCCAGACCTGCTCGGAATCGGAATTGGAATCGAGGCAGCCGTTTGCGGAACAGATTGGGCATCCTGCCTGTCACTTGTCCTTCCCAGGTTTGCGGGGCATGGAGCGCTGCCCTTTCCTCCGACACCGGCTCAGAAAGCCCGAGAACGGGGCCGCTGCTTCAGTATCCGACTACGGCACTAGAAAGAGGAGCCCCACGCAGTTTCCATCCTGGGCACCCAATGGTTGAGCAAGGAGGCCGTGACGGGACCCAGGAAGGAGGCAGGAAGCCCGCACTGACAGAGGCAGCATCCTGGCAAGGCAGCTCAGACCTCAGCTCCTCCCAAGAGCCCCGGGGTGTGGTGAGACAAAAGGTCATAAGTAAACACCTCCAAGGCCCAGCTGCTTCTGGGCTTCGCTTTGAATTCTGGGCTGCAGGTCGTACAATGGGTTTATTTACAATCTTGGGAAAGTGAAGAATGCGAGATAGCATCAGACTGCGGGCACTGGAAACTCGCTGTTCCCAGGACGGGGAATCTTCTATCCTCACAACTTTGATTTTGGGCCTTTCACTTCTCGGCTTGGTCACTAGCAGCCCCAGACCCCTGCAAGGCCATCTGCTGTGCACTGGGACTTCCAGGACTCCAGGGCTGCAGGCAGGAGCGCAGCACCAAACACTCCTCACAGCCTACATGCCACTGCTCTCCCTGACATCTAAAAGGATAAATGATTCTGGTAGGAGGGAAACCTGGAAATCAAGGTGAACCTAAAAGCCTCCTCTCCTGGTGGTGGAAGAGAGAGCAAAGTCCATGTCTGAGGTGGAGAGTTCCTGACATTCCAGACCTGCACTGGAGCATCTCAGCCCTGCAATCTCCTAAGATAGACTTCTGTCACTAGGATCTGGTCCAGGGGGAAATCTTTCAGGAGCTTTGAACCTGGCTTTCATGGGACTAGTAGAAGCCAGCATTCAGTGGCCCAGCCATGACTCCTGGGGAGAACCCACATCACAGTAAATAAAAATGTTACGCATACTGTAATAGTAAGAACAGTGACCCAGATCACTAACTCTCACCACTCCTTGGTAGCAACCTGCACACACTTATACAATCCTTACCTGTTTGAGGAATAAGCACCTTGCTGATACAGATGGGGAAACTGAGGCACAAAGCAATTCAGAGACTAGCAACAGAATCTCTCGGGGGTGGAAATTATGAGATATCTATGCCTTCTGGACGCAGTACACACAGAACACCCCACAAATGTGGATGCCTTCTGTTTGCAAAGGACTTTGAGAACCAAAATCTTTTCACTGATCATTCCAGAACTCAGGAAATTATTCTTTTCCTCAAATCATTTGAGTTGCAATTTACAGCCCACTCCTTCCTGCTTTAACAGGAAAGCCAAGAGAACAGTAAAACTCGTAAACTCAAACAAAAAAGTGACTAGACTTTTGTATTGAGGACCAAGAAATCCAGAAAAGGCTTGTGCCCTGGCCGGTTTGGCTCCGCGGTAGAGCGTCCGCCGGTGGACCAATGAGTCTTGGGTTTGATTCTGGTCAAGGGCACGTACCTCGGCTGCAATTCATCCCCAGCCCTGGTCCAGTTGTGCAGGAGGCAACCGGTTAATGTGGCTCTATCACATCAATGTTTCTCTCTGTCTTTCTCTCTCTCCCTTCCTCCCACTCTATCTGATGATAAATAGAAAAATATCCTTGGGTGAGGAATTAAAAAAAAGAAAAAGAAAAAAATACAACAGAAAAGGATTCCTTTCGCTTATCTTTCAAAGGGGTTATCCACAGCAGAGAGAACATCCATCAAACACACATATTTCATATAGGTCATCTCATTTAATCCCCAGTGCCCCAGAAAGGAGTTATCATCCTGATTTTTAATTGAAGAGGGAGCCACCCTTTCTAAGGAATTCAGGAGTCTGGTTACACTTGTTTGTCCACCAGGAAGCTCCTCCCTCAGCCACCTGAGAAAAGTCCCAGAACCCACTAGAATATAGGTGAGGGGAGTTTCTGGAACCTTCATCTGAAAAGCTGGCTCTTCACCTTCTAGCTCAACTGCTCTCAACCCAGGACCACCCCCATTGCCACTCCTCCTACCTGGATGATTGACACATTTGTGTGTGTACACACACACCTTCCTACCACACAACTGCTCTGGAGGGAGGGGGGACTCCCCAGGAAGGTGGAGGACAGACGGAAGTATGGAAGGTGAAAAGGGTGCGGTCTCCTGGCCAGACAGGTGCCAGGCTGCTCGCCAAAGTCCAAGAAACTCCTCCGGGCACAATTATCACCTTGTTTGGGGGGGGCCACAGTGGGTGGGAACAACTGGAATGTCTCCTCTGGGCTGCAGGGAGCAGACTCTGGTTCACAGAGACGTCTCAGGGTTGAAGGAGGCCGGAAAAGACCAGGCCAGTGCTCTCCAGAGAAGAGAGGCCAGCAGCCCCACCCTGGATTCTGCTCTGCCCACAGCACAATTCCAGATCTCTGTCCCCACCCCTGGTCTGTGCCTTGGTTGGGATGAAATGGCAGATACTGGACACCCCAGTTTAGAGAGGACAGCAAGGGCTGGGGGTGGAGGGGAGGGGTGATGGCAGGAGCACTGATATCACCCCCAGGTCTCCCCAGCTCTGGGGCTTGGACGTGGGAATGTGGCTTCACTGGACCTTTTGATTTGCCAGTGCCATTAGAGGTGGTCTGTGCCGTCCAATCAGCTCCTTTCTGCCCGGACAGCCGACCTCTGGGCAGCGCAGCAGGCTCTGGCTGCTGGGCCACAGGACTGGCTAGTGGTAAGAGGCTGGATGAATGAGAACACGAATGAATTCCTGACTGCCCAGTGTCCCTGCTAAGAAGAAAACGAACATCCACTTCTTATGCGATCCCCGCAACACTGGGAGGAATTATTCTCACTCCACCGAAGAGGGGTTCTGAGAGGCGGGACTTTCTGGTTCACACACTGCAAGGACGCCGCTGAGCAGGCGCCACCCCAGCTCTGCTCTTGGTCACACTCTCCATGGCTTCTGGATGGCCTTGGGCGGGGACGGTACGTCGTCGGGAGACCAGTTTTTCTGGCGGGCGGCTATTTGTGGCGCAGGGGGCGAGTCCCCAGCGAGGCGGGATCTCCCGGGAGGGTGCTCTCGGCACTCTGCGGCTGCACCACAAGCTTCCTGGCTGGAAGGACACGTGGCCCGGGGCCCCACCACGGTTTCCTCTGCCCGCCGCTTTCCCCAGCACCCCCTGGCTTGGCAACCTCTCTGACCTCCGACCTTGTTCCCACCAGGCCCCGTCTACCTCCACCTGCGCCCTCTCCCCGCTCACCTGGCCCGGCCCAGCCCCCTCAAAGGCGCAGCGGACTGCCCCGGGGTTCCAACCCTCGGCGCCGCCCGGCCGGCCCCTGCCGCGGTCACCTCGTGTCCTGGCCCTGGTCCCCGCGCTGCCACCGCGCCCATGCCCCGGCCCCGGCCCGGCACTAACCCCCACGGCCGCGCTTCAGTCTCAGGCTGGCTCGGAGGCGGCGGCCGAGCCCATCCATGGCCCCTCCAGTGCCCGGCGCCCGCTCCCAGGTCCTCGCCGGCCCCGCCCCCCGCGCGACCTCCGCAGAGCCGACACTTTCACTTTCACGCGGGGAGCGGCCGAGGGGACCTGCCCGGGGCGGGGCGGCGCGGCGCACCTTCCGGACTCGGCCCAACCCCGGGCGCACCTGGGCGGGCCCACTCGGCCCGGGCCCGGCGGGCTGCGTGGGGTGACAGAGGGCGCTCGACGCGCGTCCGAGGTGGGGGCGGCGCCACCTCGCCCGCCACCCTCCGTGGGGCGCTCCGGGAAGCTTGCGGGGTCCCGGAGAGGTTAGCCTTGCCTTCGCAGCACGGACTGGGAGTGACCTGTGGGCGCCCCCGCACCTTCCTGGCGGCTCCCCACTTGTCCCAGAAGGGGATCGCTTTTTAAGAGTGGTCACACTTTTCCAACCCTTTCATCTCTCCCCCTGCAACTGCCGTTTCCGATCTTTTGCCATATTTGTCCTTCTACCCGCGGGGGAAGTGTGCCTTCCTTGCTCAAAGCCCTGTTGCACTTCCCCAAGGAGCCCAGGGGGCCGAGGGGTGCCGGGTGAGCTGCAGAGGAGGTCCTGGGGTGCTGCGGGGGTCCTGTCCCTGCCTTCTCACCAACCTGTTTTTGTTGTTGTTTTAACTTATTATAAGGAGTAACATTGGTTAGTAACATAAATTTCAGATGTACAACCTTATAATGCAACTTCTATATAATACTCTGTTGTGTGCTCGCCACTCGAGTCTCCTTTCATCGCCATATATTTGACCCCCTTTACTCTCTTCCTTTTCTTTGCACACCCCTTCCCCTCTGGTGACCACCACTTTGTTGTCTGTATCTAGGAGTCTGTTTTGTGTGTGTTTGTTTTCTCCTTCAATGGATGATTGCATAAAGAAGATATAGATATATACAAGGGAGTACTACTCAGCCATAAAATAGATGAAATATTGCCATGGATGGATCTGGAGGATATTATGCTAAGTGAAATAAGTCAGATGAAAAAGGACATGAATCTGCCCTGGCCAGGTGGCTCGGTTGGTTGGAGGATCCCGTAGAGCACTAAAAAGGTTGCAAGTTCAATTCTTGGTCAGGGCACATACCTAGGGTTAGGATTCAGTCCCTGGGTCAGGATGCCTGAGTGATGTTTCTCTCTCTCTCTCTCTCTCTCTCTCTCTCTCTCTCTCTCTCTCTCCCCCCTTCTCCCTTCCTCCCCTCTTTCTTCTAACAATCAATAAACATATGCTTGGGTGAAGATTTAAAAAAAAAAGAACAAGAACCATATGATTTCACTGATATGTAAGATAGAAAATAAAAAGGAAGAAACCACCTAGCATGTCCCTGGGCAGGTGAACAAAATGAGGGTAAGCCCGGTCCTGCAACCTCACCACATGAAAGTTAAGGAACGAAAGCTCTTTGTAAACTTTTATGTGATACAAAGTTAAGGGATATGATAATGATGATGGTTGCAGCTATTCACACTCCCCATTTTCTAATCCCAAATCTCAGTACAACCTTTCAGCTCCTCCTCCAACCCTCCTCACCTTCACTGGCTTCCAAACATGCCGGACTTCTGGCTTCAGTTGTCAGGCAGGATAATCTGCATCTGATAAGCCCCACTTGCTTCCAGGATGACTGCCCTGGCTCTCTTCTCCTCTCAGGACCAGCATCTGTAGGATGGGAAGGGTGGAGGAAGTAGTTTGTCTGAAGTTGCTCTTTTCCCAGTGGTTTTAGCTCAGTTTCAGGCGTGTGAGGCGGAGAAAGGAAGACACTGGCAGAAAAATGTCTAGGATCCATAGATATAACCCCCCAAGCTCCCTTCCCCCTCCTGTGCATGGCCTCCAGATGACTCTCCTGAGGAATCCAGCCCTGGTATTAAACTGTCCAGACTTAGCCTGGAGATTCTAAAAGTTGCCTCTACTCTCGGCCTCTGCAGTTTTGTACTTAATTACACAGTCTGTTTCTGTTCCCTATTTTCTGTGGATTCCGGAACGCAAAGGCCCATGTCTTCCCTAAGTATCTTTTCTTGGTGGCACCTGTGTCTTAGGCATTTCTGTGTTAGCTTAGAACTTGTTCATAATACACTTGTCCAGTTGGTTGAATATTATTGTGCCTTAATTTTCCCAACCTATTTTATGGTGGTCCCAACCAAACTACTTCCTTCCTTTAAAAACTAGTGAGGACATATGCGCACATGTACACCAAAAAGCGTGCACAAGAATAATCATGGAAACCATATTTGAAATAGCTTCAAACCGGAAATAGCCTCGAATGTCTATACATAGTGAAATGGGTGAATTGTGGTATATTCTTACCACGGAGCACTAAATAGCAGTAAAAACAACAACATCACGCTGCAATCATGACATGGCTATTGCACACAAACCTAATTGAGCAAAAAAGCCAGACAGAGCCCTGGCCAGTGTGGTTTAGTGGTTAGAGTGTCAGCCCATGCACCGAAGGGTTGAGGGTTTGATTTCTGGCCAAGGGCACATACCTGGGTTGCAGGTTCTATCCCTGGTCCCAGTCGGGGATGGAGGGTGTGGTGGGAAGCAACCAATCAATGTCTTTCTCACACTGATGTTTCTTTCTCTCTTACCCTCCCTCCCTCTCACTTTCCCTAAAAATCAATGGAAAAAAATATTCTCTGGTAAGGATTAACAAAAGAAAACAAAAAAGCCAGTCACAAGAAAATACCTAATGTAAGTTTTCATCTATAAAAAGTTAAAAATAAGCAAAACAAATATATGGTAAGAGAAGTCAGGGTGATGTTAGATTTAGAGAGGAAAGGGGAAGTAATAATTGGGAGGATACGACAGGGATTCTGGGTACTGGTAAGGTCCTATTTCTTAATCTGGTGGCAGATCACACTATGTGATCATTCTTTGCACTGTATACTTTCATGCATTCTTCTATATGTATATGAGACTTTTAAAAGATTTTAAATATATATATATATATATATATTCATTAGGAGATTAGGGTGATATAAATGGAGGTATAAGCTAGT